TTTGCCTGTTCCTCGGAGATTTCCCGGGTTCCCCAGGTTCCCCGCCGTGTCTCAGGACCGTACTTTGCCCGTTCCCTAGAGATTCCTGGGTTCCCAGGGTTCCATGGGTTCCCCAGGTTCCCCGCCCCCGGTGCCTCCTGTTGTTACCTTGCCCGTTGCCTGGGTGTTCCTCGGGTTTCTCGGGTTCCTCGGTTGTCCCGCTCCCAGTGCCTTCGTATTTCCCCAAGTAGGCTTGCCTAAGGGGTTCTCATTTGCTTAAAGACTTCCCAATTCGGCTTGCCTGAGGGGCTCTTACTAGGTTAAAGGTTCCCTGGTTTCCTCGGATTCCTGGGGTTCCGAGTTCCCCAGTTTCCTCGGATTCCCTAGGTTCCCCAGGTTCCCTGGGTTCCGCGCCCCTGGTGCCTCGTATTCTTACTGTGCCCGTTCCAAACAGTGCCAAGCAATGCCAAGCGATGCCAAACAATGCCAATGCCAAGCATTGCCAAGCAATGCCAACCAGTGCCAAGCAATGCCAGACAATGCCTAGCAATGCCAAGCCCTGCGCCCATGCAATGGGAAGCTTTCCCATAATTGGGGTCGCGCCGTGTCCATGTCTTTGGGTATCGTTTTAGGTTGGAAGCCCAAAGACGGAGGGCCTTGGTAGGACAAGTGAAACGCATCTTGGGCTCGATTCGTCGGGGAGCCCTGACTATTGATTCGCAAGAAGCGGAATGACAAAAGAGAAAGGCCCGAAACAAGCACACACACAAACCGTCCCTGCTCCTCCTGCTCCCGCCAGCAGGTGGCCAATCTTTCGCTCAAGCCGAAGATGCTGTACGTGATGTCCGACGACCCGTCGCTGTCGGAGGCGTCCCTGAATGCGGAGTACGGACGGTACTCCGAGTACGCGCGGAACACCAGCACGCAGTACCAATTCCTTCGCGCGCGGCTTATCAAGAGGAGGAGGAGGAGGATGAGGAGGAGGAGGAGGAGGAGGAAGAGATGGAGGACGAGGATGTGGAGGAGGAGGAGGAGGAGGAGGAGGAGGAGGAGGAGAGAGGAAGGGAGGCAGGGAGGTTGGGATGATGGGAGGGGGTAGGAATTCTGTTTTGATGCGTAAACCTGAATGAAAGCTGGTGCCGAACCCCAAATCGTGCAAAACAAGAGCTGGCTGAGAAGATACTCAGCACAGGCGTCAAGAAGCTCTGATAGCATGGCAGAGGGGCCCCCACGACGGGGCACCTCGAGTGGCAGAGGCAAGCGGAATATCAAGTCCAATTACCACAATTCTTCTTCTCCAAGCTCCCCCTCATCAGGGAGCCTGTTCGGCACAGGAGGTCGGATTCCTGATACCGCGAGATTCGTGAGGGAGGAGGAAGGGAGCGAGGGAGAAATATACCTAGAGGGAGGGGGGAGGCTGGGACACAGATCTGATTTCTCCGGCTTTTTCACACCCCCTCTACGCGAAGTGGCCAGGATATGACAACTACACGGCAAGGCATCTCGGCCGCATGGGGGCACCATAGAGGGGATCACCACAAGGATGGACGGCACAGGGAATTTTGTTGGCACCGCCAAGGGAAGCATCGAGCTACTCTGAACCACTGGGCACGACGCGCGATTCAATCACGACGACAGTCTTTTGCATTTCGCGCATGTCAGGCCCAGCCAGGCTCACACTCGCAAAGCGCAAGGAGAAATTATGTATAAGAAAGGAAGGGAGGCACGATTTACGGCGGGCGAGAGGGAGAGGGAATCCGCCGTCTGTGACACAGACCTGAAGACATTCTTCCTCTGCCACCACCCCCGCCTAGCAACTACTCCATCCTCTTCCGATCGGCTGAGAATTGCAGCCGAGTCGACTCACCACTGCGCTACACTGGCACTGAATGGGCACTGGCCACGGAGGGTCCCAAGCCGCGCCCTGTTCCTCGCCTTGTCCCTCGCCTTCTCCCTCGCCTCGTGCTCGCTGCTGGACACATGTGGCAGTGGGAGCACTTCGGACCTAGGGGGCTCCCCTGCAGCCTCCTGCAGTGACACTCCGCACACGTGTGGCGCCTGTTGGGCACCTGAGCAGCACGGCTGGCACTGCCTGGTGCCACGAAGATCACATCCCGTGGAGGCCTGCGACTGTCGGTCGTGCGGCGGCTGCGCGGCTGCCGTCAAGAGGTGGAGAGGGTGGCGCACTCATCTGGGCGGCACCGAACGCCTTGGTTACCCAGGAGCGCGATGCGCTGGTGGAGGCCACGCGCTGGAATGCCAAGACGCGATGCGCCCGGCCAAGGTAATTACAGTCGGACAAAGGTATACGAGCGAGGTCGGTTCGGGGAGGGTGCCCTCGTATCATTCATTGGCTTAGGCTTAGGCCACACCGCCGACCTCTTGGGGCGGTGTGGGGTGCGTCGTTTGGGGCTTCTTGGTCCGAGTTGGGGTGCTCTCGGGTGCCTCTTGGACCGTCGTCAACGCTGACAAGGCAGTCGAGTCGTACATACGACAAAAATCGAAGGGGGCCTTCTTGGGGGGCCTCATCGACGCCGATTCGGCTGTGGTGGGGCCCTCTTGGGGGCCGCTTGGGGCCCCCTGGGGGCTTCTCGGGGCCGGTTGCTCGAAATGGCCATTGTGGTTCTTCCTCTGGGCCTCCTCCCGGGGCTGTCCTGGGGTCCTCCCAGGCTGGCTTCGGAGGCTTCTGGGGCCGTCTTGAGGCCCTCTTGGGCGGTCTTGGAGCCCTGTTGGGAGCCTCTTGGTCTGTCTTGGGTCGATCTTGAAGGCTTCTTGGGCCGTTGTGGGCCTCGTGAAAGCCCAAGAGGCGAACGAGCTAAAAATATACGCTTCCCCTAGGGAATGCAACGATCTTTGCTTTTAGAGGGTCTCTGGGGACGTCGGCGAACGTGCTAAAAATGTACGCTTTCTTTAGGGAATGGTGTTATTTTTCCTCCTTGAAAGTATGTTGGAACGCCTCGTGGCGGCTTTTTGGAGCGTCCTGGGAGCCTCTGGGACCGTCTGAGCGCAATTTTGCGGCGATGCGTGGCCTTTGGGACCGTCTGGGGGCCTCTTCGGGCCTCCCGGGGACCTCTTGAAGCGGAAAATTAAAATTTTCGGTTCGTGGTCCTCTTTTTGGGCCTTTTTTGGGCCCTTCTTGGGCTGTCTTGCGGTCTTTTTGGGCCGTCCCGGGGCCCGGGGCGTCCTGAAGCCTTCTTGGGGGCCTCTTGGGCCGTCTTGTGGCGGTCGTGAGTTCCTCTCGGGCCGTCTTCGAGCGTCGGAAGCCGGAAAAGGCGAGAAAGGCAACAATTGCTGAAAACAAAAACACAGGAAATCACCGATTTTGGCCTCTTGGGGCCCTTTTGGGAGGCCTCTTCGAAGTCTCTTGGGGCGTCTTGGAGGCATCTGCGGCCGTTTGGAGGCCATCTCTGGCGTCTTGGGACGATGTTTCGGAAACTCGCGGCCCTCTTGGACCGTCTGGGAGGTCTCTTGGGGCCCTCGTGGCCCGTTTTGAGGCTTCGATGCCCTCTCGGCAGAATTTCGAGCAAATATCCCCCCCCCGCAGGCCCGGATAGACCCCCTCCCCCCAAATCGACTGGATCCGGTTCCCGGGGAGGGGGGTTGGGGAGGGGGAAGCATCTCACACGCCGATGGGGGCCTCTTGGGGCCTCTGGGGGGGCCTCTTGGGGGCCTCTTGGGGGGCCTCTTGGGGGCCTCTTGGGGCCTCTTGGGCGCCTCTTGGGGCGGTCTTGGTGGACTCTCGGACCGTCTTCAACGCCGTGAAGGCCCCAAAATCGTATATGATAAGAATATACGGTTTCTCATAGGCATTGGACGATTGTGGCCTCTTGGGCCCCTCTTGGGAATGCTCTTGGTAGCCCCGGCAATGCCGAGTGTTACACATGTGTACATGTGTAGGTGTGCATGTATGTATGTACGTACGTACGTACGTATGTATGTATATGTATGTATGTATGTAGGTAGGTAGATAGGTAGGTAGGTAGTTATGTATGCATGCATGCATGCATGCATGCATGTATGTATGTATGTATGTTTGTTTGTTCGTTTGTATACACGTATGTAAATATGTGTGTATGGATGTATGTATTGTTTGTATGTATGCGTATGTATGTTTCCACATATGAATGTATATATTTGTGTGTGCATGTATGTACGTATGTATATATGTATGTATGTATGTATGCATGCATGTACGTATGTATGTATGTATGTATGTGTATATACACATATATGTATGTATGTATGTATGTATGTATGTATGTATGTATGTATGTATGTACGTATGTATGTATGTGTGAATGAATGTGTGTATGTATGTATGTATGTACGTATGTATGCGTGTGTGTGAATGCGTGCATGCATGCGTGCATGTATGCATGCATGCACATATATATATATATATATGTGTGTGTATGTATGCATGCATGCATGCATGCATGCATGCATGCATGCACACATGCATACATGCATGTATGCATGTACGAATGTATGTATATGTGTGTGCATGTATGTATGCATGTAGGTATGTATGTCTGTATGCATTTATGTATGTGTACATGTATGTATGCATGTATGTATGCATGTACGCATGTATGTATGCATGCATGCATGTATGCATGTATGTACGTATGAGTGCCTGCATGTATGTTTGTATGTATGCATTTATGTATGTATGCATGCATGCATGCATACATGTATGTATGCATGTATGCATGCACGCATGCACGCATGTATGTAGATATGTGTGTATGCAGTTATGTATGTGTGTATGTATATATGTATGTACGCCTTCCTGTCTGTCGGTCTGTCTGTCTGTCTGTATGCATGTATGTATGCATGCATGCATGTATGTATGCACACGCATCTACGTACATACATACATATTTATATATATATGTATGTATGTATATAGGTATATAGGTATGTATGTATGTATGTATGTATGTATGCATGCATGCATGCATGCATGCATGCATACATGCATACATGCATGCATGTATGTATGTATGTGTATGTATATATGTATGTATGTATGCATGCATGCATGCATGCATGCATGTATGTATGTATGTATGTATGTATGTATGTATGTATGTATGTATGTCGAAGACGCCTACGGCGACTCACCGCCGCCCCCCGCTTTTGTGGACGCGCCTATGTGGCCGAACGTTGAGGCCAGACCTGCCAAGCTATCGGACCATGTGTTCCCCGAATCGGTTTGGAATGTCTTCGGGGAACACGTGGGCATCTTGAAGTTCATCTTGGCCGCAGGCCATTTTGACCCTTTCGGGCCTTCTTGGGGGACGTCTTGGAGGGCTCTTGGGCCGTCTTGGAGGCCATCTTGAGCGTCTCCGAAGCCTCTTCGGCCGTCTTGGGGGCCCCTTGGGGCCGTCTTGGGCCTCGTGGGCGATCTTTGGGGGCACTTGGGCAGTCTCTGGCCGTCGGACGGCAGAACACACGCAAATGCCACACTCCTTCAACCACTCAGGGGAATTTTTGATTTTGGCATTTTCTGGCCTTCCTGGAGGCCCTGATGGAGGCCTCTTGGGCCGTCTTGGGCCATCTTAGTGCCATCTTCGGCCGTCTTGGTGGGCCCCTGGCCCGTCCGACGCCGTCGGAAGCCGTTTGGGGGGCCTCTCTGAGCCGATTTGGGGCCCTCTTGGAATGCTCCAGGGCCGTCTTGGAGGCCATCTTGGGCGTCGTAAAAGCCTCCTGGGCCGTCTTGGGGGCCTCTTGGGGCCGTCTTGGGGGCCTCTTGGGTCGTTCTGGGGCCATCTTGGAGGCCTCTTGGGCGATCCCTGGGAGATCTTTGGGGGCTCTTGGGCCGTATCGGGCTGTCGGAAGGCCGAAACGGAGCAAATATCAACATCCTTGAACACCTTGGGCAAATCATTGTTGTTGGCCTTTTCTGGCCTTCCTGGAGGCCCTCTTGGAGGCCTCT